GGGCTGGGGGGATGTGGAAGGAGCAGCAGTACCCAAGGACACTGACACTGCAGCTTCCTCCTGAAGCAGCTGAAGGGATTCCATCCTCTCCCTGCTCCTGGCTGAATTCCTTTCCTTTCCCCATCAGCATGGCCACAAAGGCACTTGGGCTGGGGAGATTTTTTGGGGATAAAGCTTCCAAAAATGGGAAAAAGCCAGTTTAAACCTAGCACTGCTGTCCAACTCTGTGTCCCAGGAGGGGAAGGAAGGGCAGGACTGCAGCTTTGAGCTGGGCTGGCTTTGAAGGGTCTAAATCCACAACTTTGGGGAAGAACAAAACCCCAAATCCACGTGAGAGGCCTGCAGTGCATCCTGTGGGCAGGGATGGAAAAGGGATGGAGCCAAGGGAGATCCAGAGCTCACCTGGATGGACTGAGGGGATTGTGGGGGGAAAAAAGCTTCCAAAAAAAGGGGAAAAGTTGGTTTTAACCCAGCACTGCTGCCCCAGGAGTGGAAGAAAAGGCAAAACCCCAAATCCAGCAGTGCAGCCTATGGGAAGGATGGAGCCAGGGAGGAACCAGGCTACACCATCCCATGGAGGGATTGTGGGGGCAAAAAGCTTCAAAAGAAGGGGAAAAGTTGATTTTAACCCAGCACTGCTGCCCAACTCCATGTCCCAGGAGGGGAAGGAAGGGCAGGACTAGAACTTTTAGATTTTATAAATTCTGAAAAGCCTTTAAGGGTTCTAAATCCCCAACTCTGAGGCAACTTTGAGGAGTGACACCCCAAATCCAGCACTGAATAGTGCAGGAAGGATGGAGCCAGGGAGGAACCAGGCTACACCATCCCATGGAGGGATTGTGGGGGCAAAAAGCTTCAAAAGAAGGGGAAAAGTTGATTTTAACCCAGCACTGCTGCCCAACTCTGTGTCCCAGGAGGGGAAGGAAGGGCAGGACTGCAGCTTTGAGCTGGGCTGGCTCTGAAGGGTCTAAATCCACAACTTTGGGGAAGAACAAAACCCCAAATCCATGTGGGAGGCCTGCAGTGCATCCTGTGGGCAGGGATGGAAAAGGGATGAGGCAAGGGAGATCCAGAGCTCACCTGGATGGACTGAGGGGATTGTGGGGGGAAAAAAGCTTCCAAAAAAAGGGGAAAAGTTGGTTTTAACCCAGCACTGCTGCCCCAGGAGTGGAAGGAAGGGCAGGACTAGAACTTTTAGATTTTAAAAGTTCTGAAAAGCCTGTAAAGGTTCTAAATGCCCAACTCTGAGGCAGAGGAGTGAAACCCCAAACCCAGCAGTGCAGTCTGTGGGCAGGGATGGAGCCAGGGGGGATCCAGGCTGCACCACCCCATGAGGGCTGCAGGGACTGGGGGGTTTGGGAGCAGAGCCCTCAGGTGCTGCTCCCTTATTTATTGTGGGGAGCCAACAGGAAACTTCCAGACAGAGCTGTGGGATGAATGGGAACAGCACAGGGAGGGATGAGAAGGGGCTGGGGGAGAAAATGCCAAGCTCAGCTGGTCCCAAAGCCTGGCTCAGCCCCAATTCCCCTCAGCCCCAGGCTGGGACAGGCAGCAGCACCCAAAACCCCCAGGGCCCAGAGTGACCCAGCCAGGTACATGGGGAGAAGCTCTGCCCCCTTTTCATGGCCATTTTTCAATGGAAATAATAGAAAAAGGCCTTATCACTAATTTAAAAATGGGTATTTTCATCAGGGAAAACCCCACACAAGAGTGAGGTAATGCCATTTCCTGGGAGCTGTAATTTCCATTTCCTGGGAGCTGTAATTTCCATTTCCTGGGAGCTGCAGGATTTGGGAGCTGCACCAAACCCCAGCTCAGTTCCAGGAGCAGATTCATGACACAAAAGCCATGGACAGAACAAATCAAAGATCAGCATTTCAAACCCAGCACTTGCAGGTTGGTTTTTTTCCCCTGAATATTCTCCCCCAAAGTTCAGAACCAGGGAGAGTCTCTGAGCCAAGAACAAAAACTTTGGCAGATAAAAATCAATATTAATTCAAAATCTCCTTTTTGTTGTTTTTAAACTGAATGTTGCTCTCCCATCAAGTGCAAACTCAGGGACAGTCTCTGATGCAAGAACAAAATCTTTGGCAGATTTAACTCAACACTAATTCAAAACATCATTTTATTTTTATTTAACTGAATGATGGGTTTTGGTTGGTTGGTTTAGTATTTTAAAAATGAAGGAATTTTTTTTTATTCATCTTGTTGTCCAAGACCTTTGTTCAAACTTTCAGCTGATCCATCCCAAGGCAGAAAACACATCAGAAATCGAAATTTTCAGGGTAATTTAAGGTTTTTAAGCAGATGAATATGAATTTACAAATATTCACATTAGACAATGTTCTAACATCCATGGATATCCTAATTTTATCACAAAGCAAAGTAAGGTTTTCTATTTGTTTTTATTACATAAGCCAGCTGGGTTTTTAATTTAAAGCTATGTCACCAGGCCATGGATTTGAGTAAATAAATTGCACATTTCTGTATTCAACCCCAACTAAATGAAGGAAATAATTGAGCTACCTGATGTTCCCCAAGCACTGTCTCTCCACTGATCTCCCAGAAATATCCCTTTTGGTCCATCTTTGCTGGAATCATCAGATTCCCAAAACTTTTTACCCGGCAACAGCTGCTGCAATTAAAAAAAAAAAAAACAAAACAAAACAAAAAACAAACAAACAAAAAAGAACAAAACAAAGCAAAGCATGATTAAAATAAGTATAAAATGCAAACATAAACCCCATAAGCGACTCCCTTCTATCAGGTATCAACCATTACACACAAGTGAGATAACCAAATATTGAAATGTTGACATTCCCAGGTGAAAGCTGAGGGAACAATTGCACGTCCCCATTGCTGATGCTCCTCCCAGCCCAGGAGCCCCCACACATCACACACACTCACAGACTCTGCAGCCTCCCTGCACTCACACGGGAAATAAAGAGGGGAAAATATCGAGAGTTTTCCTGAGATCACCTGGGAATAAATTCCTGTCTGCCAATGGGAGCTGCTGCTGGAGGGATGGGAAATCAGGGATGGGAATGGTCAGGAATTCCCTTTTCTCCTTTTGCTGGGGGGACAGGAAATCAGGGATAGAAAAGCCTGAGAATTCCCATTTCTCCTTTTGCTGGGGGGACAGGGAATCAGGGATGGGAAAGGTCAGGGATTCCATTTTCTCCTTTTGCTGGGGGGACAGGGAATCAGGAATAGGAAAGGTCAGGAATTCCCATTTCTCCTGCTGGAGAGATAGGAAATCATGGATAGAAAAACCTCAGGAGGTCCCATTTCTCCTTTTGCTGGAGGGACAGGAAATCAAGGATAGGAAAACTCAGGAACTTCCATTTCTCCTTCCCCTGGGGGGACAGGAAAGCTCAGGAATTCCCATTTCTCCTTCTGCTGGAGGGACAGGAAATCAGGGATAGAAAAACCTCAGGAATTCCCATTTCTTCTTCTGCTGGAGGGACGGGAAATCATGGATAGGAAAACTCAGAAATTCCCATTTCTCCTTTTGCTGGAGGGACAGGAAATCAGGGATAGGAAAGGTCAGGAATTCCCATTTCTCCTTCTGCTGGAATGACAGGAAATCAGGGACAGGAAAGCTCAGGAATTCCCATTTCTCCTTCTGCTGGAGGGACAGGAAAGCTCAAGAATTCCCATTTCTCCTTCTCCTGGGGGGACAGGAAAGGTCAGGAATTCCCATTTCTCCTTCTGCTGGAGGGACAGGAAATGAGGGATAGGAAAGGTCAGGGATTCCATTTTCTCCTTTTGCTGGGGGGACAGGGAATCAGGAATAGGAAAGGTCAGAAATCCCCATTTCTCCTGCTGGAGAGATAGGAAATCATGGATAGAAAAACCTCAGGAGGTCCCATTTCTCCTTCTGCTGGAGGGACAGGAAATCAGGGATAGGAAAACTCAGAAATTCCCATTTCTCCTTTTGCTGGAATGACAGGAAATCAGGGACAGGAAAGCTCAGGAATTCTCATTTCTCCTTCTGCTGGAGGGACAGGAAAGCTCAGAAATTCCCATTTCTCCTTCTGCTGGAATGACAGGAAATGAGGGATAGGAAAGCTCAAGAATTCCCACTTCTCCTTCTCCTGGGGGGACAGGAAAGCTCAAGAATTCCCATTTCTCCTTCTCCTGGGGGGATAGGAAAGCTCAGGAATTCCCATTTCTCCTTCTGCTGGGGACTCAGGTGCTGCAGGGGTTCTTTGGGAACACTGGTGGGAGGGAGGGCAGCACCTGCCCCGTGTGCAATGGGACAGAGCCACCCTGAGCTGGGACAGCCCATGGTCCTGGCTCTGGAGGTGGCAGAGAGAATTTCCATCCCTGCCCACCCTGCCAGGGAACAATTCCCAATTCCCAATTCCCATCCAGCCCTGCCCTCCCTGGCTCCTGTCCCTCCATCCCTCTCCTGATCCTTCCTCCCGTTCTTGAGGGGCTTTAGGAACAGTTTCACCAGGGACCAGCTCCACACTGGGAACTCCCAGCCCTGAGGTGACAAGGGGACAATATCCCAGGAAATCCTCTGGATGGGATGGATGGAATTCCCAGCAGCACATTCACAGCAAATTTACCATGAAATGAGCCCTGCCTCGAGCTGGGATAAAACTCAAGGCACTGAAGATGAAAAGAACCTGAATGTGCCTGAAATTACCATGGAATAAACAAGAATCATCGGCTCTGGGGATCTCCCCTCTGGATCAGGAGTGCTGATAAATCCTGATTGGTATCTGTTTCAATACCCTGACTGATAGCAAATTAAATATCCTGATAAGCACTTCAATATCTCGATTTGGTATCAAATTCCATGCCCTGATTGATATCAAATTCAATATCCAGACTGATACCAACTCCTGCTGGTAACTCCAGCAGCAGAAGTGCAGATCTAAGGCTGAACTTGAGGAGTAAATCAGCTGCTGGATGCACCAAGAACTGATTTCTCAGCTCTCCTGAGCTGGTTTAAAGCACAATCACAAAGTTGTGCTCTCCTTTCCTCCCCAGCTCAACAGAGCTGTTTGTTTACAAACCCAATCAGTCTGCAGTGATTTCAGGCAGGATTTCTCCTCACACCCTCAGCATGTTTCAGGCTGCTCCAGGATAAAAGCAGGGGCCTTGCCCCATGCTCCCCTTCCTGCCACCCCAAAATAACCCCAGTGGGAGGGCAGGGGGCTGCCCTGAGCAGCAATCACTGCAAACACAGCTGAACCTGCTGCTCCATCTGCACCAGGAGGGGGGGACAAGCCAAGGCTCTGCTCTCCAGTATTTATAAACAGCAGCACACCTCAGGTGGCTTGCAAATTCTTTTAAGCTTCTGTCATTCCCATATTTCTTCAATTGCAGCTATTTTTATTCCTGCTCTTGCCACAGTGCAAAAATAACAACTCTGCTCATGGCATTGCAAGGAATTTTAAACAGAAAGCAGCACAAACTGATTCAAGTGAATTTTAGCTGCAATTAAACACTTCCCATTTCCCCTGACCACACCTCACAGTGCAGGACACAAAATGTT